AACTCGATGATGTTCAACATCCGATTACACCTCTCGTTCTTTTTAGCGTTCCACGCTATCATGTCGTCATTTGTTCAAGCATACAAAATCGACCAGTCCTGTGATGCCAAAGGTGTTACGGTGGACGTCCGTAACGCGATGACTTCGGCTTTCGAGATGGTATCCGCAGCATACGAGACTCTGACGCAACCTCCCCTGAGCTCTGATGCGCAGGACCTGGTTGGATTCCTATTCGCAAGGGAAGGAGCAAATCCCGCTCAGCTTCTCCAGCAAGGCAAGCTAGAGAAGACCATCACATTGTTGAGAAACATTCGGACATACATGTCAACAGAGGTGACGGGCGACGCAACTGTCAGCGCTTCGGATGTGGTAAGAGAACCCGGAATGTTTTGCTTGGCTTATGCTGATATATCATCTTCCAGATCATCTTCTGTCACTACGATCGCTGGGTACAACTTGAAGGGCACAAGGACCTCTGGGAAGATACCAGTACGCGTGATAGTTGGTAGTGTTATAGCCATAGACTGACCGAGCATAGCAAACGGATACAAACTGAAATTCAACGAGCAACAATGCAGAGGTTCGATACTCGATAACGTTGCTTTAGCAGTGTCAGCCAACCCTCCAGCGAAGCAGATTGAACAAGAAATAGCGAACACGGGGGTGTTTAAAACGACAACCGTTAGACGGCCAGCACAGATTCAGCTCTGCTCATGGTTCGTGGACTGGATCAAACAAAAGGAGTACAAAACCGCCGACGACGTCCAAAAGCGAACAAAGATTGGTAGAAAGATGATCAATAGGGCAGCATCGAACCGCATGACCTTTGGCTTAGGCCTGAACCAAATTGGTACGTTGTGCTCTGAGAACTCCAGGACGCAGACTAATCACAACAATCCTAGATGCCTACTCCTTGTTGGACAAAGTTCTTTTGCATGAGATGACACATGCTCGCGGTGCTTTCCAAGAATGGACCAAAAAAGGTGTGGTCGAAGGCATCAAAGACGTACTTACACCCAATATCTTCCTCAGGCAATTCGACTGGGCAGCGTACGGTTGGGAGGGTGTGGGAAAGCTTGCTCGTAAAGGCGGCGAACTTAATACCCCAGGTGGACCAGATAATAATGCTGATACAATAGCTCTCTTTGGAAGCGGTACGTGAGCCGGTTCCCATGCAACGACTGACTGCTGATCGATTTATAGCTTGCAAACTGATGAGAGACCCGCAAAACCCCCGCAAGGTCGACAGCAAAGGCCGTATTGTCCCGGTGACATGATCGAGAGGATGGTGGTTCAGCTTGGAACTGTATGCGATGGATACGGTTGGGCGAAGAGGAGAGACATTTCCCGTGTGATCGCATGTCATGAAACTCGGATTTGGGCGTGTCATGACGAGAAGGTCTTCCAGTCATATTGTTTCGAGTGGCGCAATATGGTGAATGGGATACTACCAAGTCTTTGTATCGTTGTGTGAGGTAGTTCCAGATTCAATTCCACGAGGAACTCTTGAGCCCTTATCAGCTTGCATGCGCCAAGAACAAATATCACGGGCTCTTGATCTATGACTAGAGGATCGGAGTCATGGAGTTGATGTTTGTGCATGAACGTGATCTCGAACCTGACGACGCGTAGCTCGAGCAAGTAACCGAGTATGTGACAACCTCTCTCCCATTCATAATAGTTCTCTCCAGGCAATCGAAGCCCGTTGTTTTGTGTGATCATCAAACCGTACTTCGGAGTCAGGAAAGTCGTGGATATATGTAGCTTACGGAGCATATTCCAATTGGCCGGGGTTACGAGCGTACGGAAACTGGATGTTCCTGTCATGCCTCTGAAACTAAAGTAGTTGGCTTTGTACAGGACCTCCACCGCCTCACAGTAGCTATGGGTTCTAGTAAGTAGCTGAGAAGTGATTTGAGCGGCTGCCACTTACATCAGACGGCAAGTAAGAAGTAGCGATAGAACATCACCGTTGGTGTAGTATGCGTCACGAACGTGCTGGAATTCGCCCTCATTCCATAAGCCGAAACATGCATGTTGCCATACCAAGCTTTCGCTCTGTGGTGTATCGCAACGCCAATGACCTAGCTTTGCAGGCCGACCCCCGATTGGGGTGACGTGTAAAACGTGCAGCAGACGCTGCGGGTCGGCGAGAACCTCTTCGTAGATGAGCAGTCGCATTTCAGCCGACAGCTTCTGGAACAGCACACACTTCTTCTGATCGAGAGGCTCACCTCTCGGTAATTCAGGTCGCGTTATCAAACTAGGGTCTCGGCTTGGTGTGAATGGCGTCGTCGGTTCGGGCTTTTTCCGCTGCCACTTTCGGAGCAATGCACGCATGGCGGCGCAGGTGGCGATGAAGAGGTGTCGCAACACAGCTTAAAATATCTTGAGAGGATTCTGCGTAGTTGCGAAGGATCTGGCCGCAGATTGTAGGAGCTCAAGAGGCCTTGTTTGGGTCGTTGGGCTTTTTACTGTGCCCAGGTGGCTCGGGGACGAGATTGCGGCACAGCAATGCAGCGTGAGAAGACCGAGGGCCGGCGCTTACATGCACATGCGTGCGGTATTAATGCGGTAATCATAGCGTGGAATAGATTGTCGCGTCGGTGCGATGTGAACAAGATCCCGTGTTGATGTACACGGATGCGCTGATGGGTTCCAGTGATGTTACCTAGGTAGGGAGGGAAGCTCCAAGACGCGTGCCGTCGAATGCAGACTAGCTTATTTTCTAGGACGCGTACACCCACCCATCGTCGCGTTTCTCCCTTCGCTCCCTTCCGATAACCTGCACGCACGCGACGCCATTACTGCGATAGGCATGTTTCTGTAAATCAACAGTAAACATGTAACTAATACAAAGAGTCCGCGAGAATGATTTTGCAGTGCAATGCTTGCTTGACCGTCGTCGCAACTACTTCGTGTCGGCCATCCATGGGTGCTTCAGGAGTTCAGTCGCCGACTTCCTGTCTTCCGGTCGCCATCTGAGCATCGAGCGTATGAAATCGAGAAACAATTCCTTTTCCACCCCTTCAAGCACCGAGACTCTTTCCTCGAGTGAGATCTCAGGAATAGTTACAATCCTGGAGCCACCCGTCCAGTGTCCTATTGAACTTAGTAGCGTCTATGTCGGGACGATCTCAACGACTAACCTTGCTTGTCGAAGACCTTCTTTGTGACATGGCTGCTTTGCGTGTATTCAAGCGGAGGCATTCCAAGGTATGCAACCATTTCAGAAATATGATGTGTCCCTGATGGGTTGCCCTCGGTGTCACGGGCATCGAACAGATGCTCATCTTCAAACAAGTCCCACACCTAATCAAGGGTAAGTCATTGCGGCTTCCTTATGATAGTGTTGAATACTTACCAACGTGGCGAGACTCCAAATATCCACCTTGGAGCCCCATTCCATCTGGAAAATTATCTCGGGTGCACGGTATAGCTCAGGCTGAATAAAGCCGGAGTGGGAATCTCCTATCCGCGCTTCTCCAAAGTCACAGAGGACTGGTCGGCCCCAAAGACCACCCGTAGGATGGGGAAGCTTACGGGAACTGTAAATGGTGCGTGTGTCGTCAATCACTTTGGATGGTGACGGGTTTTCTGCTTCAGCTCTCTCGAAGTTTTCCAGGATAGTGTCATCATTCACAGTCAGCATGATGTTCCCAGGATTGATGTCTAACTGGTTAGTTGATTCAATTACGTTGCATTATCTTGCCGTACCTGTATGTACGACCTTAGCCTCGTCGTGTAAGAACGACAGTGCCTTTAGCACGTTGGCTAGCGTGAACTTTAGAAGCGGAACGTTGAGCTTGTGTGCTGGGTTGTAATACTGGAGCTGTCGAATAGTCATGTGCATGGGTGGATGAACAAAGCACAAGTGTTTGCCAGTCGGACCGTCGAGCTCAAATTCGCCATACAGTTCGCGGATATATGCTTGGCCGCGATGCTGTGATTGTATAGAACTGACATGCTCGTAAAAGTCTAGCTCTCGATTGAGCTGTGTGGTCTTTTCGGCATCTCGGGTACAAATCTTGACAGCGACGAAGTCAGCGACGAAGCCAGCGTCTCGTTCTCTGTGCACAGATGATCAGAATTTGAAGGGTGGATGGGGGTGAAGAACGCCAAACATACTGAATATCCCGAATATCCCGACACAGCCAGACCGTGGAGTATGCACCGTAACCAAGTTTGCCTATAACCTTAAAGCTAGAATCGAGAATCTCACCAGGTCGTGCTGGATAAAACTGATCATGGCTATACCACGGAAGGCGCTCCTCCTCGAAGAGCTCGCTGGCATTTATTTTCGTACTCTGGAAGCGGGAAATTCGGGAAATGGGAGAGGGAAATTTGAAGCGACTACATGCGCGTTGACTAAATCTCAGCATGGTGGTGTAGAGATGCCATATCATCGTGGGAAGTTAGTGTGACTGTCCAAAGGCGGCATGTTGGCCGCACTGATGCCTAGCACGGGCAATGACGACCACCCGGTTTCCGCCCACATACCTCCACCACGACCAACTCCCACCGCGTCCGCCGCAACCTCGCTTGACTCAATCCCCAAGACCCAGAAGGCGCCTCCGACATTTGACGTTTAGCCTTAAAGCGGAGATACCGTTTCAGCCCTCAAGCCAAGCGCGGAGCGGAAACGCCAAGGCAGCCTCCCATCACAAGTATAGCCGCATCCCTTACAAACCAAGAGCTCGGCCGTTGAGAAAACAGGCATCACTCAGGCTGCGCGAGGCACGCGTCACTGACTCGTTCGCACGTGCGAGCTTGTCTTTGCCTCAGCCCAGATGTCGGGCCTGCATCCGCGCTCGCCTTGGCTGGGCCGCCACATGTATCCCCAAGACATCAGGATGCGAGGTGCGAAACATGTGTTGACGCGGAGCTGATAAGCTGGCTGTGGATGTGGATGTGTTTAAAGATGGGGTGCACGTCGTGTAGGCCCTGGAATAGGCAAGCGATCTTCGCATTTTTTTTACACTTTCGAGACGGTTTTCAGTATGGCTGGTGACTCGTCGACTCCGGCGACAGAAGGCTTTTTGCAGTATCATGAGCCGAATAGTAGGTACTTTACTTTTTTACCTGGTTTCGCATTCACTAACGTTCGACAGTCATCCAAATCCTCGTCCTCGTTTCGTTTTTCTTTTGGCTTTCCTTCGGCGAATGGCTTTCGAATCGCGTGTTCCGCGCTGGTCTTATAGGCCAAATCATAGTTGGTCTGATCTATGGCCTGCCTATCGGCGGTGATATGATACCCATCGCATGGCAGGAAGCCTTCATCGCCCTGGGGTACATTGGTCTTGTTCTTATCATCTTTGAGGGCGCCCTGGCCGTGCGGTTGGATCTGCTCAAAGCGAACTTTGGTCTCTCTGCTATCGCGGCGACCATCGGTGTGGTCGCTCCTATTGGGCTCACATACCTACTTCTGTATGTCGGCTTTGGGTATGGAGCGATCGAAACGTTCATTGTTGGGGCTGCGCTCTCGGTCACCTCTCTTGGGACGACATTCGTAGTGCTAGGCAAGAGCTCAAAGGAGATCAGCTTCGCCGATACTAGGGTCGGTACCGTTCTTGTCAGCGCGGCTGTATTCGATGATGTGTCTGGTCTAGTGATGGCTAGGTGAGACACAAAGTTCCCTATAACCACAGAGCATCACTAACGTCCCTCAGTGTAATCGGTCAACTCGGCGCCCTCGGAGGCGACAACTCCCCCAATCTAGGCTGGCTAATCGGACGCCCCACACTGGTATCCGGTCTCCTCGCCATCCTCACTCCCGTCCTAAACAAATGGGCAATCGCACCTCTATACCGAAAGTTCATCGAGCCACGCCTCCCCAAGACACGCAAACGCCACGTCGTAAACGTCATCATCATGATCTTCGTTCTGTGTGCTTTCCTCAGCATCACAGGCTTCGGCGGCACCTCTGTCCTCTACGGGTCCTTCATGGCGGGCGCGTTCCTCACCTATCTCCCTTCCAAGCACCCAACAGGACCGTTCCACCCACCTTCGCGTGAAGACGCAGAAGAAGCGGAAGCGCGATCTATTGCCGAAGCCACCGAGTACGACGATGCGGGCGAACCGCTCATTTGCCCTACTTTCATGCATACGTTTGAGAAGTACTTCCTGGACGCTGTCAAGTACCTCTTGCAACCTCTCTTCTTCGCATCGATTGGCTTCGCCATCCCCTTCATCGATCTATGGACCGCAGAGGCGTTCTGGAAGGGCTTTGTTTACACGTTGCTCATGCTTGTCTCTAAAGTCATCGTCGGCCTCGTCATACCTTTCGCTACCATCTTCCGCAGACCGCCAGGTATGTCGATCCGCGAGTGCTTCACCACCACTTTCTGGCCGGCGATGCTCCTCGGTTCCGCCATGGTAGCGCGCGGTGAGATCGGTCTGCTCGTCGTGCAGATTGGTCTGAACAACACTCCGTATTTATCCAAGGAAGCTTTCATCACCGCCGTGTGGGCCATTGTGCTCAACACCATCTTCGGACCTGTGACCGTAGGCCTTATCATCAAGTACAAGGCGCGGGCCATTGCAGATGGCGTGTGGGGTCTCGAGAAGACGGAGCCGAATGGCTGGGACGATGGGGTCTCGAGGGCGCCGACCATCGTCCCGGAGACGATGAGTGTGAAGGAGAGGAGTAAGAGTGTTGCGGTGTCGCAGCATAGTAGGATGGTGTCTGATCCGGTGACGGTACCGATCTCGCCTTGATGGCGGTGATGTGGTTTCTTAGCTTTTATAACGAATTTATGATAACTCTTACTTGATACTTGCAAACACTATCCTGCTATGTGTGGTAAGAAGTGAGCTGTGACCATAGGTATCATGAGTAAAGAGGTATCATCACCCTTTCCTTCGGGTGTCAAGTATATACTACAGCGATATTTCCTCGGCATGGACCTGGTGTGAGTCGCTCCCATGAGCGCGAAAAGCGAGGATTGTGTCTGATAGAGAGGGGTATGCGCAGCTAAGTATTATGAAATCGCAAATATGAACAACATGATAACATAGATCAACAAGAACGAGCGGTGTTCGCAAAGTCAACGGTCATGCCCAGCCCAAGATTCGCCAAGCACCCATAAATAGATCCACACTCATATACCACGTGCAAACATCCTTCACCCATACGGCAGGTTTTAGCTAGACCAAAACCACCCACTCCTCTTCTTCCGCTCTTGGGTCTCTGGCTCGGCTGGCCTTGGCTGGATGTCGTGGAATGCCCTCCAAGGATCGCGCTGCTGGGTTTCGGTCTCTTGGCCGCGCTGGGTATGCACAGTCTCCGAGCTCTCTTCTCGACCATCAGCGAAGCGTTTCTTGAGCACGACTTTGGTCGTAATGGAGCCGTCAGAAGCAACGGTCCGCTCGGTCGTCGTAAGTGTGGAGAGAATCGAAGGCTTGTCCTCCTTCATCCGCTCAGCGATCGCAGACGTTACCGAGATAGGCCCGGGGACTGAGGGTGAGGGTTGCGACACAGCCTCCATACGTTCGTACGCATCCAACTCAGTCTCCGAGTCCTCATCTCTCTCGTGTGCTGCGTCTAGAACAGTATTGTATGTGTCACGTCTGACTGTGTCGGCGTAGGGGAAGCGGTCTTGTTTCGGCGTAGGCGGATCGTCATGTTGGTCTTCGTGATCGTGGCTGTACTCGTAGCTTGGCTCGTCGCGTGTCCCAAGGCGAGGGCAGCTGGGCGCATCGTTGCGGTCCATGTGCTCCTCCAGTTGGCGTTGTGTGATCGGGATCTTGCCATGAGTCCAGTACTTGTCGGACGTGTCAGACTCCATGGCGCCAGGACATTCGGGCTCTGGCTTCCCTTGCATCGTCTCCTCCAACTGTTGTTGCGTAATTGGTATCTTCCTTGGTCCCCAAGCCGGTCGGTCGGACCTCATCATACAATGTGAGACTTCGCCTTGCTCTGCTAGCAGGTCCTCGTAGGCTGCCTGCCAAGGTACACCGGCCTTGTTCATTTCGCGGTTCTGCTCGAGCGCGCGGGGAGAGTATGCGGGGTCGTCGGTCTGCGATGCGTCTGCTGGTGGTGGCCACTGCCATGATTTGGACCATGACCAGACGCGAGGCTTGCCGTCTTCAGGGCTAGGCTCGTAGTTGTTGAATCTGGCAACTTCCGTCTCGCGGTCATCCCAGGCCTTGTCGTTGAACTCCTCGGCCAGCCTCTTCGCCTCTGCCTGCATCCGCAACAATCTCTCCAACTGCATCCAATCCTTCGATCTTTCTTCCTCCGAGTTGGCAGATGAGTTCCGGCCGTCGTGATCAAATGGCCGAGGAAAGCCCCAGTCCCATGACCATCCCCACTCCTGACCCTTCTCGTTGGCTACCTTTTCAACCAGGCTAGCATCGTCGCGTCGCGCAACCTGCTGCTCGTCGCCTCTCCTGACATTGCCAAGTATTTCCATTCTTATGTCGTCAGCCTTGCGGTCGAGCCTCATCAGCTCTTCGCTGTTGCGCAAGACAGCCTGCACATCGCCAACTCTGAACAGCTCTCTGCCTTCGTGGCGCAGCTCGGCGATGTCGGCTTCAATATCGTGAAGCTTGTCGCATTGTCTTGGATCGGCCTTGCCAAAAAGGCACTGCTCACGTGCTTGGTGCGCGTTGTTGTAGTTGGCGATGGTGGCGGGAAGGGTGAAGACGGTGTTGAGCAGCGACGAGACCTGGGAATCGGCGAAGCGGCGGAAGGCGATGAAAGGATTGTCTTCGGGTCGATTGGGATCGCGTCGGGGATTATCGTTGTCGTTCGTCATAGTGATAGATAGTAATGTGGGTGTTGTGATGGCACTTGGCTGATGGTGGGGAAGACGGGTCCGGAGTGATGATGGTGCCTGGAGATAGCCGTGGCTGCCTCGGCGATAAGGCCACAAGGCACGCGCCACCCGTTTCGACGCGTCAAGCCATCGCCCCTGCCAGCCAACCGCGCTTCCCTCACTCCATCTCTCCAAAACGGCGCATCGAAAGGACCCCCATCGTCGCCCAATGAGTATTTCGCTTTGCCAGAATGTTTTCGGTCTCTCTTACGCTATTCTTACCATCACCAAGCGTGCACCGCCATAGGACCCAGACTTGCTGAGCCAGCGATTACCCTGCCCAAGAGCTGCCGCGCTTCCCTAGAGCTCAGGAGTCAGTATGAAGATTCAATATTTCCAAACAACTTTCATCTATCTATTATGGCCCAAGATCTGCCTACATGACTCCACCTACGTATTGCCAGAATATGTGAGTGTTGCATCGCAATCAAGGCATGATCTTGGCTTTCTTGGAAATCTACGCGGGTTTGGGATCCTCTCGGCAATCTGCAGTAGTCTCACTTCAACACCATCGACTACGCTATCCACAAAACCAAGAGCATCGCCATCTTTTGCTTTAGACATACGCGTAAGGCCATTACGAAAAAAAGCCGCAGTGGATATTTTCTACCCAGCATTATTCAGCACCGCCTACGATCTGCGCCTTATCGTCTTACCGCCCGCTGGCAGCCAAGGAGCCAAGTGCGCGGCATGCGAAGACAATTGACTTCAAGACCTTGATCGTCCCGGATTAGAGCCGCACTGCCCAAAATCTGGACCTGCCCAGTTCAAGCAGCCACACAAAACGCTGCTTTCCATCGCCCCGTGATAGGTCTCCACGCTTTAGCGACGCGATGCGCGTCATCCCGAGCGGATTTGGACGGGCAATCCCCGCCTGTAACTCCTTTCACTCCTGGGCCATTCCTACTGCGGCCTTATCACTAGCGATCGAATACCCACGTTTCCTGTTTCTGATCTTCGAGGAATGTGTTTTGACAGCTGTGCCAGCGGGCTGGGTACGTCACACAAGATCTGCGACACCAGCAAAGAGGTATAAGTAGCGGAGTAAACACCGCGTCTCAAGAACAAAGCATTGTTTCATCTCGAGATTTCATCAACATATATCACCAGACGCTTCCCTTTCATCTATACCGATACGACGTATAACACTTGTCTAATCGCTATACAACAAGGTCTGAAAGTCCAAGACCTGCTATTCTCTCTTCTATAAAGGCCCAACGAATCGTCCTCGATATTCGCAACACCACAACCACTTCATCACTTCCTCATCTCCAATATGCGTTTCTCCGTCATCATCGCCACCCTCCTTGCTAGCGTTGCCGTCGCTATGCCCGATCCTCTCCCACAAGGCTACTCCGGTCCCTGCTCAAAGGACAACTGCGGTGTTAGCGGCAAGGTGTGCTCAGGCGGCGCAATCTGTGTGGGGTGGCCAAGCACCGATCCCGCCAAGAGGAAGGGATGCACCTGCAGCCGGGGTTAAGCATTTGATGCTGAGTTTTTTTGCATTGGCAGGCGTGTGTAAGTATAGTGAGGCCGAAGATGAAGCAACGCTAATGTTCGCCAGATGGCATATTACAGCGAGGTTGACTGGAAGCATGTTGGTTGTAATCTAGATGGTGTATTATTTATGAATGATGAAGACAGAATTTTGACCAAAAATGCTTACTATCATCTGAGTGCCACACAAACCTCGATACTTTTAGGTCGTGAGAAATTGCCACCGCGATGGGCCTCGATAGTCGGTAACTGATCTCTTCACTGTGTGGTGTTGCCTTGGAGTGAGCTTTTCGCGCCTTCCTGGCTTGGCACGCTGGGGCCTCACTCACAACTGGCTACCTCAGCACATGCACGTCAATGCTGCTAAAAGACCACCATTCGATAGCACCACTCTCTCACCAATTCATAAACCTGCAACCACAACGCATACCCCAATACTTGGAGCTGACAACAAATACCATCAACCATGATGTGGAGCACCCAGTTGCCGTTCCGCCCTCCACGTCCCAGACCATTCTTCGACCTACCGTGGGATATCCGAGAACAGATCTACAGTTATATCGAGCTCGATGCGCTTCCACCGCTGTCAAATGGTACCGAGTACGCTGGCTTTGTTCTCTCGTGCAAGCTCGCCGCCGAACAGCTATCTCATGTCGCGACCGTGAATTATCGCAAATACCTCCATGACTTCGAGCGACTTTCGAGGGAAAGACTTGGTTACAAAATCATAGTCGCTCAACCGGAGCGGGCAACAACTGTTAAGACTCATCCTTTTGCGCACCTCGCTCGACTTAAGGTCAAAGTACCATTGAAAAGTCGCGCCGTCTTCAGTGACGATAGACGAGATGTGACACCATGGTGTGATACTTTCCACCCTCTCTTCGGACTTCTTCTAGAGAATCTACAAATCCACTTTGTTGCGCCAAACCTTTCGAGTTTGAAAATGATGAGAACCGACGTCGGCAACATGTATGAAATTATCGAACGTGTATTCGACTTCATTGAGATAATGAATTCACAAGTACCGGAACGTTCTACCCCCGTTAGAGGTCCACCAGGTCCACCAGGTCGACATGAACGAAGAGTATTTCAATTCCTCAACCAGTTTGAGGCGCAAGTTAGTGGCTTTACACGATCGAAACGCGTGAGTGTAAAGGCCATTTGCTTTTCTTGGGATTGTCGAAAACATGCTCAGTCCGGATCTCCGGCCAAAATGATGGGGCCGGTCTGGTCGCACTCCTTACGCCTTCGTGACGTTCCGGGAAGAGACAGGCAGACATACCACCGTGTACATGATGTAGACGGCTACGCAGGAGAGATACGGATCGCGAGTTCTGGACGCTGGGCTCCCACATCAGTCGGTCTGCCTTTGCGTCTCTATGACAGACCCAGCAAGGTGGT